GTAAAAATGAGAGAACAAAAAATACAAATGGGGAACAAAAAAAAGGATGATTTTTGTTGATATTGTTATTACTGTGATTTCAGACATCTGTTTCTTTTTTAACTTATTTTCTCTTGGAACTCTGTGTAACCTGGTCAGGCTCCAAACTCATGGTTCTCCTGATCCAGTCTCCCACATGCTAGAGTTATGTGATGACACTTCTGCAAGGTATCTATTATTTAAACAGGTCAAAGTTTGAGGGATTTTTTAACAAGGTAAAACAAGGTGAAACACTGACCTCTCAGTGTTTCATAGACCATCTTGTTAGAAAGTGGCAAGGAATGAAGAGAGGTTGGCTGTATTATGTCTCGATGCCCATTCCTGTTAACTAGTAGCATGAGGGGCCTATCTTAAACAGAAATAATACATCCAGGTATTTAAATGACAAAAATTAGACTGCTTGAAGCCACCATACTATTATTTTCTCAAACTGCATCTTTTTTGTAGCATAAATGGCTCTGAGAATGTAAAAAGATGCCAGCCATGGTTAGCTCCCATTTCAAGCTTCCCAGGATCCTTGATAAAGGCTCAATTGATCCACTTGTAAATTTTGTGCATCTTCTTTCCTTGGAGAATTCTATTGACAGCGATTTCCAAGTGATTCCTTTCCAGTTTTCTCTGGGTGAAATTCATTATAAGGGGAAAAAAAAACCTGTACCATGATTGCTGATTAGTGTGATACTGGCCACTCCAAGCCTTTTTACTCTGTAATCAATTAGTCGGGCAATCAGACTAAGTAGATGGCCCCCTCAGCCATGTTTTCTGAAATCTCTGTAGTATGCATTTTATAGACTTACATGAGCCACTTTATTCTTCCTTTAAATTTGTAAGTATTTCCATAAATAAGAGCCCCATTCAAGAGCGATCTTTACTGTCTGGTATTCAGGGGCCATTAGCCTGACCATGAAGTAAGGCAATTAGCTAGGATAGAGGCATTTTGATCAAGAAAATGGACCTCAGGTTTCAGAGAATCTTTCATTTAGGGCAGATCTGAATATGTAAGAACATATTTCAACAAAACTGTTTAGCACCACTCTGTCTCAGCCTATATGATTTTCAGAAATTTCTGTTGGATTCAGCTTGGATTTTAGCTCAAAGGATCTGTTTTTATCACATAGGTGACTATAATCTTCATACCTTTCCTCTTCCTTGAGGAGCTGATTTCATGGCATCACCAATGAATTTTAATTAAGTTGGTGGTCCCTCGTGGTTATTAGGTATAAATCCCATCTCAGTAAGTTACTGAATAAAATACTAACAAAGAAAAATAGTGTGTATGGGCTAGGGAGATAGAGATAACTCTGTGGTTAAGAGTTCTTCCTGCTGTTCCAGAGGACCCAGGTTCAATTCCCAGCACTCACATGCCATCTTACAAATGTCTGTAACTCTAGTTCCATGGTACCTGACACCCTCATACAGATATGCATGCATACAGATATGCATGCAGTCAATACACCAATACACATAAATAAAATTTTAAAAAAGAAAGTTTATACTAAATCTCATGACATACATTTTCCCATAAGTTCCTGAAATGAAGCCTCTCTGATGATGTGTTGAGCTAGATTCCAATCTATGAATATAAATGAGTATAGCAGAATATCATTAGGAATTATTTCACTGACTGTTTTTGTTTTTGTCTTTTGGGCAATCATGTTTGGTCCCATCCCAGGTCTCTGGACTATCCAGCCTCTGGTTCGGGGCCCTGCAGGCACTGTCAGGCATAGGATCCATCTCGTGGCATGGACCTCAAGTTGGACTATTAGTTGGTTGGCCACTCTGACAAGTTCTGTGCTGGGTTTCCTCGCCCAGCCTTGACATAAGGGTTAGTGCCTAGCCTTACAGTAACTTGTTATGCCACATTTGGTTGATATCCCTGAGAAGGCTGAACTTTTCTGGAGGGACACAGAGGAGAAGAAAATCTGGAAGAGAGAGAAGGTGAAAGGGAGGGACTGGGAGGAGTAAAGCTAGGGAAACTGCAGTCAGAGTATAATGTATGAGAGAAGAAGTAAAAAAAGAATGCAAATTCCCTGGCTTCATCTTGCAATTGGGATGTGAAGCAAACCATATTCTGGAAGGCTGTGTGATAACCAGTACCTCTCCAGCCTCTTGCACTCCTTAATTAGTCCTTTTGTGATGGTGCTAAAGCAACCTACAAAAGGACTTGGTGTATTCTGCTAATCTTCAGTCACTCAACTGAAATACTAGCCAAATAGATGATAATAGATTGCAAGCCTATTGCTTAATTATTAATTATCCAACAAAGATTTACATTCCCAGGCAATCCAATAAGTGCTTATATTCCAGTTGTCAATATGAAACCCAGCATTACATCCAAGTCATCACTCTGTCTCTTAAGGTGTCACATGGTTGTAAATTTACTATCCAAGTGTCACTGAGCCAAGAGAATTAAATGGAAAGCAATAGCAAAATCAAAACAATGACAACCAAAATCACTCACTCTTCTCCCCCCTCCCATTTTCTTCTGAATTAGTAAAGTATCCTCTCTGTAGCCAGCAAAAGGTTCCAGCTCCTTGCTGGTAATTATAAATGTATATTATCTTGCTTAAATATTATCTTGGGGCTAAATATAAATTTAACTGTTTTTACTTTTATTCAACCCAAATCAGCAAATTTATCACTGAAGAATAAAGGGTTTCATTTAATTTAGTTTAAACTTGATTAAAATACAATTTAATAAAGAGTGTGCATTTAAAACCAAAAAAAAAAAAAAAAAAAAAGCCGGGCGGTGGTGGCGCACGCCTTTAATCCCAGCACTCGGAGGCAGAGCCAGGCGGATCTCTGTGAGTTCGAGGCCAGCCTGGGCTACCAAGT